AATACACGAAGAGCGACATAGTTATACTTCATTCTCGCAATAATAATTAAACCACTGCGATCCCTAAATTATGTCACCATTTATGTGAAAATGCCATACTACTTTTTTTAAAGGAAATTAAAAATGTATAGTACGATATACACGAATAAGACGACATTGTTGAGTACAATGTTGTACCACACAATACATAAAGAGGGACATAGTTACACTTCACCCTCGCAGTAATAATTAAACCATCACGATCCCTAAATTATGTCACCTTTTAAGCGAAGATGTCATACTACATTTTTTAAAGAAAATAAAAATGTAAAGTACGATATACAAGTATGTATACTTCTATCCTGTAGAAGAGTAGATATGCGCAATTTGTCACATCCAATTAACATTGGTGCAATTAAAATTCACCTGCGAAAAGGTTTCCGAAGCCTGACGACGCGTAATAACCTAAAAACCGAAGAAATAGACGGGAAATAAGCAAAGCGAAATAATACAAGGCAAAGCAAAAATTGGACAGTAATAACCAAAATGAGGTTGCCGCGCGACGAAGCAGAAGAAATCGAACCTGCAGTTTGTATCTCCATCGGAACGAGGATCATCGGGTTCGGACGATCGAGCTAACCGCGAGGCGACCATCCACGTGGACGTCCGAGTCAACGGTCGTTAAATTTAATGGGCCCGCTCGTTAATTCCATATACCGACGGTTTCGCGTACGCAATAACAAATTACGCAAACGACCCGCTCGCCTGCTTCGTTCGTCTCTCCTCTCTCGCGGACGTTCGCGAGCATTTTCATAATATCGTTCGCTGGGCCGAGGGAACGAGCGTCGTCAATTAAGCGTACGCGGCTTGAAACTCGACCGACCGGCCGAATTTCGCCGACCGGGGATTAATTTCGACGCACGGTTCGCGATAACGCTCGTATAACCGATGCCCGTACTCCGGCGCATGCGCAGGCGACTGCGCGCGCACGCATGCCTATCGCAGCGCTATAAAGATATATCGGGTCCCGCGCAGACGTACGAGGGTCGCGGAATACACGGGAGGTGATAATATAAGTAAGGGGACCGGTCTTCCAACCAATTTGCGACTCGGGCACGCGCATAATTTAATTGTCGCATTATGCGACCTATAAAAACGTTGTTTATGGCCTCGGTTAGAGGGAAATGTCGCTGGAAAAAAGACCACGCTTCACCTATTATCTGTCTTTTCCAAGAGGATTTATTTCCCCAATCTTTTATCACTTCTCGGAACACTCGAGGCAAGTAGCCGTGATGGGAAGATATTAATTGTCCATCGGAGGAGCGACGTGTCGTTAAAATATATGTTGTTAATATATAATAAATATAAATACGCGTTATTAAAATAAATTAATTAAAAATACGTGTGCAGTCGAACCTCCGAGAGACTACGCTTTCGCTTATGGCTTCCTGCTGTTAGTTGCAGGAGCTGCTAAAACTTAAGTCGAAACATAAACCCTTTTCAATGACGAGTATATTCGTCAGAAAATATAAATATACCTTTAATTGCAAATTTTATTTTATTTACGAATCAGACGAATTTTAAATTCACGAAATGACATTGCCAGGCCTATAACCAATAAAAATATATATTTTTCAGAAACATACGCAGCAATAATTTTTACTCTGTTACAGCGACTATAGTCACTTAGGGATAATTAAGCACACAGGTGTAGACTTCCAAAATGAAATGAAAAAAATTAATCAAATTTAGGTTAGCCTAACCTAAATAAGCGTAAACTAAAGTTACAGAAATTTTTAAAATCCCTCTGTGCAGAAACTCAATATTCCATTTTTAATTTACCTATTGCCTATGTACGTGTAATAAATGACACCTTCACAAATTGAATATTTTTTTAAAACCATTACTTGGAAAAATGTCAATTTTCCAACGAAAAGCCTCGACACGTGAAATCTAGGTTAGGTCTAACTTCGAAAATTTGAAAACTCCAGAACTTTCGATTTTCCCTTGAGGTTCAGCTGAGTGTCACCCAGACTCTGATTATGTCAATGTCCTCGAACACGAAACAATATTAACCTACCACTTTCTCCAAACGAAATCGTTCCTTTTAGTTTGTCAGGGGCCCAACCGAGAAAGGAGCTGAGCTCCTCTGTTGCAACGTTGTCACAGGGATCTCCGACAATTACTTAACCCTTGCTCCCAAAGTGGGATTCCTAGATCGACAACGCGAACGGCCAATGTCAGAGGTCGCCGAATAATTGTCTGTCACGACGCGTCCGAAACGGCGCCATTTCGTCACCGTCCACGATTCCGCGGGCCCTCGATGGCTGCACTCCGGCTCTCGGCCTGGCGTGTATCGTACATCGGATCGCGAGTTGCTCTACGATTTAAGGAGCGTCTCTTTGTCGAGTCGTGACGACGATCGGTTCGATCCCTGATTGCGACACCCGTTCACAGCCCGGGCAAAAATACAATCAGCTCGTTCCGTCGTTTCCAGCCTAACGACGCTCGGTCCAATAGTGTCTCGATGGAAAGTGCACGGTTGTTTCTTTGATTAGGGTACTGGGCCTACGGGGACCCAACCAAGTTCGATATCTTTGATATTTTATTTCTTCGTCAAATTACTTCGTATTACAGATACAGAGTGTTCCCTTTGCAGATTGAACCGAGTATCAACGTGCTAATTATCTTTGAAGGGGCCCGATTTCGTTGTTCAGTGTCGTCCTTATGACACGGTGTTGTAAATAGTTGGATTTGATTTCGATATGCACTATAAGAGCAAGAAAAGTGTCGATGTTCTAGAGAAAAAGAAACAATGATCTTGAAATAATTTAAAAAATGAAACACCCTGTATATTCTGTGAAAATACTCCATAAGAGGGAAATAACTAATTTCCACCATTTTTTCTCTTGAATTCTACTTATTGTTAGTGTCGTATCTTAATAAATTATAAAAGTTATAAACAGAACATTCATACCTATTGTTTCCCAAAAGTATTACCTAATGCATATACATATGTGTAAATCAGGAAATTTTCTAATAAAATTTTAATTAACCAAAACTTCAATACACTATAATCAATTTGTAATAATAAATATTAAATTCTACTTGCTTTTGTTCCTAACCTCCTAATTCTTAATTAAGTTACTTAATTTCCTCAACTTCCTAATTCCTAACCTCATGCGTCACAGGAATTACAACTACTATAGTAGCAATATAATACATGTACTAAATAACGACATAATAAACTTAATTTTCAATAATAAATATTAAATTCCATTTGGTTTAGCAGCTAACCCCCTTTACACGTTACTAGAAGTACTATAATAACAATATAATAAATCTACCAACCGACACAATATTAACCCTTTGCACTCGAGAACTGACTCTCAGTCACCGTTTGTTTAATGCTATAACTTAGATAATGAACGATGATAATAATATTAAAAACATCGAAATAAAATTATTCTATTCGTTCGTTGCATACGCAAATTCCCGATTTTCTTTTTTTAATTTTAGCATAAATAGTATCAGTGAGTTTATAAAAATCTAAGAAGAGCTTCGAATTGCATCTTCACAACGAAGAAATCTTCGAGTCCAAAGGGTTAATGCGAAAAAGAGCAATATTCATGCAAAGCGTTCTACAAAAATGTCACCAGAAACGATATCGCAACGGTATCGAGCAATCGAAGGAACGCTTGACGCGCCGCCTGTCGGCGGTGCCTGTAACCGAGCTTCCGTCATCATCGCATTATCGCGTACGTTCACCGGGGAACGATCGAATCGATCCAGCTTTCCAATCTTTCCCGATGCACCGGAGAATCGGCTCTCTTTTCCCGACCGGCGTTTCCCGTCGGTCGATCGGGCAACCCTCGTTACGAGCTTCGACTAGCCGTAATCAATTTCACGCATTGATTAATACGAAGTAAATGAATACCTGGGAATCGTTGCGGGGCTTTCGATGGCGCGAGCTCGCGAGCCAGGGAGAGATGATTTATCCGGCGTGGGTCGAGGGCTGGCCGGTCGGCGCGCGTAATTATCATACGACAGCCGATTAAAATTGCGGCCGTGCTCGCGTTCAACATCAATTTCAAGCTAATTACATGCATTTTCGTGTCTAGGAGCGGACCGACACGGCGGAAAAATCGGTCGCTACGTGCCCGACCACCGGACTCCTCGCGATCTGTCTACCGGCGTGCTTTACCGGATCATCGATCAGTGTTTCCCAACCTTGACGGAAGAACACGACTCGACCCGATACGTACGATCGGACAAATGGTCGCGGAAGAGGCTACCGCGATACCGTTTCCGTCACTAGCCGTTGTCGGCAATCGGTTCGTGAAATATTAGGACACGTCACGCGCGAGAAATCGGGTACGATGACAGGTGCTGCCCGAGCGCCGCGGTCGGCCGAGTTGCGAAGTAAAATATCGAGACGCGACGCCGACAGATGTCGCCGCTACGCAATGACGCAATGGCGGCTTATGAGTTGCCTTGTACTCGGAAACGGAAACGGAAAAACCGAATATAATAATTACTATATCAAAGAGTCTTTATTTCGATGTGCCAAAATATCTATATCAATCTTAAAAGTTATAAAAGAATTTATTAAATTATAAAAGAATTTAATTTAATTATAAAGAATTTAGAAGAAAATATTTCTCGATATAATATTATTGTTTTGGACTAGATGTTTTAATTACTCGTTGCATGACTTAAGTTATGAAAAATTGTGCATTGGAGAAGTATCGTTGAATATAATTTTAGTCACGTGATAAGTGTAGCTTATTATTATGTCTATATAGAAAAATTGAGAAGCTAGATTGATTATAGTAATGCGAGGAATCACGTGTCATTAATTGGAATATGTAAAAAGATTTTTCCAACGTGTTAACAAATATTTAATTTGCTATGTTCTGTAGTTTACTATTTATAGGTTATGTCTATGCGTGCAAGATAGATACCGTTGCGAATCGTTCAGTAAATAATCTAGTGTAAAAATAAAAATGTATCTCACTCACCGAAATGTCGCAAATGTTGAGTCGCCATCGCCAGGGAGCAGCACCAGCTCCATCTTCTTCCCGTTCCTAACCTCAAAGCCACGAAGCTTCTTGCGAAAACTATTCTTCGTTGGAATCCACGGGACACTGGAAGATATCCTCGGGCAATTTAATTCTTGTTTCTTGTCACTCAACACATCTCGAAATTTTTCTTCGCTCTTCCCCATTAAAGTCAAACCGTGTCCCTTCGTGTTTTCCTTTCCACGCATAACCTCCTTTAACGTCACAATTTCCTTTCGATCCATCTTCTTCTTCTCCGAATATTTCTGTAAATATATAGAAATATCGAGGTTAATAGAGATGAAATTGTTTAAATACGAGAAATGGATAAATATTTACTGCATAAAGTTAGTGGAAATTGTCTCACTGCGTGCTAGGTTATGGTTCGCTCCGCGGCCGTCTAACGTCACGAACCGGAGGTAAACAAACCAAAGCCACGTGACAGATACTGTGGCTCCAGCTATCGGGTGGTAACGCGTAGCGAACCGTTAACGTTCAGGGACGTATTTATCACCGTATGAAGGGCTCCGGTATTGGCAACAAAAATTATCACATATATCTTGTACTTATATTTATTCATACGCTCTCATTTATTAATATTGAACTATTTATTTATATGTATATTGAGAACGAATAATTCCACAGTATAATGAATAAATTAGCGTTGAAAGAAATATTTCAAAATTATTTTTGGATTATATACTTCTATATCATTTAACTAAAGTTACTGTCATTTCAAATGACTGTCACATGCATTTTCCCACAGATAATAATTCTTGTTACACAACAATTGTCTCTTTATATTACTAGAACTACCAAAGGAATTGAAATGATTTATTTTTGACATTTTATTTTTGGAATTACTCTTGCTTGGATTATTAATAAAAATTTATATTATAAATAAGAATATAATTGTGTACACTTATTCATTTTTCATTTTATCTTTTTAATTATTATCATCTGTATATATTATGTATTATATTTAGGGAAAAATTACAAGTTGGTAGTTTCAGCATTGAAAATGACACACTGACAGACATACAGAGACAGAAAGTGTATTCCGAAGGTGATGAAGTGCATTCATGCATTCTGAAAGGAAGGGATGGGGGTAATTCGTTACTACTCACAGCTCTGACCTCTGCCATGCTTTTACGGTCTAGATTTTCGTCTGGAAATTTCTCCCGTCCAGTCACCTTCTCCGAGGTAACTTCTTCGTTGGAAAAGGAAGTGTTAGAGGTGAAACACTTTCTATTCTCCAGCACGAAATCGATCGCCGTGGAAAAGATATCCCTTTCGGAATCCGACACAGAAGATTTCGACAATTCCAAGCACGGAATCGACATTTCGCTATTCACCGTGGTGTCGCTCTTTCCCTAACCTCCCAACCAAGTTTTCTCGCGTCGAATTTGTGTCGCTCGAGCCGTCGTTACTTTTGTCCTTGCTGACGTCACGGTTGTCCATTTTAAACGATTTCTCGCCTCGAGAGAAATCAGGAACGATCCTGTCCTTTCGTTCCAGGATCGAGGATGCAGAGGAATTTCGAAGAGTGATCTCATGCAGATTCGCTGCGGCATCCTCGAGCTCAGCCACTCGTTTCTCCAGCAAAGCAATCCTGCGATCCCTTGCTTGCAGCAGGTACAGTGCTTTCTGAGCCCTTTGCTCCTCCTCCAAGGCGTTTCTGAAATTTTACATTTTCTCTGGTTAGTACAATTATTCGTTGCTGTGATATCGGAATAACTTAAATACGATGATACAGTAACTAAGAATTTGTAACGCAATGAATGGCGGTCAGATGGACTTTCGTCATGGTCCGTCGTTTTATCATGGCGACTCCAGCGCCAAATTTTCATTAGCAACATAACCTCTCTTCATGCAATTTAGCTACAAGTACATTCCTACTTTCATAAATACTACATATTTTTAAATAAATTATTAATTTATATCAAAGAAGTTGAAGCTAAAAAAATAAATAAAAGTACATATACATGTACAGGTATTACCTAACTTATATATGTGCCACTTTAGGTTAATAATTAAAATTCCTGTACCCTATCTGTATGAAAATGATCTTATTGTGTATACTATAATCAATCAGTATTATTTTGAATTACCCATCCTATTTCCATGTATGCATAATACAGAGTGGCTATATCTTAATTCCTTGGATTACCCGATTACCTCACTATACAGGGTGTCCATTAAAAACCTGAATATTTCAAAAACACATTTTTCGAAAAGGAACCAATTAAATCTCATAATTTCAAAGAGAAAAAACATAACTTCTATTTATTTCCTACACCCTGAATATTCTCAAGGTTATTTCAAGGTCAACTGCATTTCCTTAAACGATTTTCACTTAACCAGAAGATATATTGTTTAAAATGCACTGTATTCGAAATATTTATACATTTACACGATATTTCATCCGATACTATATTTTTTTCAAAATTTTTACGGTGCCCCGTAGAAAAATCGACGGCTCCTTCTTTAATCCCAGGAAATTGCGATCGATAGCCGATAATCCTCGGCAGTCAGTATCAACGTTTAAAATAAAAACCCGTGATAGTCTAATCCCTGGCGAATTAAATCGGCCGAGGGGCCGGGAGGGGCAGGGGGATTCGCGGTCAGGATTAAAGCGTACGGCGGGAGCTTTTTACAGGAGCAGCGTCAATTAATATCCTACGAGGCCATTATTAACGTCCGTGGAAAGCGTCGGCGATGCTGCGCGGCGGCGAGTTCCCGACGACTTAAAGTGCTTAAGGAAACCGAAATAAATTACGCCACGGAGAGAGGTGCATATTTAATTCGAGCAATTAATGCCGTCTTGTAAAACACGCCGCTGGGGTGGCTGTTGCCTGTAGTCCTCCCTCTTTCCTGGCAGTAATGAGCCCGATAAATCAACCGGCTCTGCACTCGAAACTTCGCGGATAAACTTTCGGCTCCTGCAGTTTCTTCATGGCTACCAAACCGTGTTGTTCCCGGCAATAGCGTTGGCAAAGTGGCCTTCGTTGCTGATAAACTGCGTATGAATATCGCTGTGGGTCGCCAATACCGATTGTCCGTCCCTGTTCTAGTCATTTCTAGTGATAACCGTCCAATGGCCGCCCCCGGCCTAGTGTTGAATATCGCTGTGGGTCGCCAATACCGATTGTCCGTCCCTGTTCTAGTCATTTCTAGTGATAAACGCCCCCGGCCTAGTACTTTTCAGTGATAATCATTCGCATAACCTCTATTCGGTATATCCCTACGTATGACACGTATAACAGAGTCTATAGGGTGATGGAAGGGTGAGGGCGACAAGGTGAATACAAAATTTGGAATTAAACGAGTACAGTCGAGTACAAAAATATTTCTACTCTATATTCTATATTGATTATATTAGCTATCTAATATTATAATACAAATATTCTTGTGATCGACTGTACCTACAACGGTTATTGTTTGTTCAAATATTGTTTGCAGATATTCATCAGCGTGTAGTTTAGGTTAGGTCAGTACACGAGAACAATGGAGGTCCTCACTTAAGGCTTACATTTATGAGCTCGCGATGGCGCTGCTGCAGACTGTACCTAACCTAAACAGAAGTACCCTAACCTTCAAGATTGAGACTTTAATGTCACTGTTACACTATATTAAGTGTCTCTATATCTTCCTAACTAAATTCTAGATATATTCAAACACTTTTAGAATAATCTGTAATGAGAAATATTAATACTAGGTTTACGGACGCTATCTGTATACCTATTTCTAAGGACACTTGTCAAATTGACAGATAAAGGAAACCACGTGTCTTTTTTTTTAGCGATTAGTTTAATTTAAAAACAATTATATATTATATTAACAGTCTTAATATAAGTTAACTAACCCTTTCGTCAAATTGACGGTTTCCGTAAATCTAGTGTTAATTATAAATGAACACCTTAGATGCAATACTCAGGAATGCTACTCAGGAAACATTCTCCGGGTTCGTTTTCCAATATTCAGAAAAATTGGGAAAAGAATATACGATTTGCAAGGATCAGTGTTATATCTTATCCCTCCCCCTGAATTAACCTTGCTAAATCATAAGAACCCCTAGCAGTAAGTTGCCCCAAAATGACCAGAAGCAAAGAGTCGGTGTCCCCGGCTAATTACTCAGAAGTAATATCTGTAGAGATATCTCATCACCTGGAACAAGGCTTTAAGACTCTCAAACACGAGTACCATTCGTCAAATTAGCTCCTCCCCTCCACCTCTTCATCCGCAACAGTGTCCAACGCTTATCCCAGCCAATGAATCTTATCTCGGCTTTTTACACGCGATGCCGTGGAATTGGAATTAATAACGATCTCGTTCAAGCTAATCGGCTATTTAATACAGGACTTTCTATGAAATCTAATTAAGAGGGGCCCATCGCTTCGTAATCGCGCGCCACAAATCACCGCATCGCCCCCGCGGCTGAAAGACGGCCTGTATCGCGCGAATTCCCGTCCCGTAATACCCGGCCGACTGTACCGCCCCTCGCGGATCTCCATGGCGATTAATTAGGCATAAAAATCTGGTCGTTTGCGAGAAAAAAAATGCCGCAGATTGCTCCACTTAATCCCCGGGCGGCCGCCTTCTGCGCTGGGGATGACGCCTCCTGACGTTCCGCTGGAAATTCATTAAAGCGATATCCCATTTATTCCAAACCACCCCTCCCCTCCCCGTACCATCCGCCTTCTAACCGACCGAAATAACAAACGCCTAATCCGTTAATCAAATCGCCGTCGACCCTCGGAATTACTCTTCCCTTTTCCTCTTTTCTTTGTCCCGTTGCCTCCTGCTGGGGTTACGCCACTGGCTAGGGACTTTTGCAGAATTTTACTGCAAATTCGAAATTCATCGGACCACTGTGCATTACTGTCACTGTGCATTGACAATTTCACGTGGTCATGGGCTATCCTGAAATGGGACCCCATGGGGGGCCCTAGGGATTTCATTTATGGATCGAAGGATGACAAATTTTTGGGTCAACTACTACATGCGAATCTAGGCATGAATATATGTATATGTAGGAAGGCTGTGTATGTATAATATTTATAAAGAAGAGGTAGAAGTTATTGTTTTAATACTTCTAGAAATACTGTTGGAACACGCTATAGCAATATAAGGATGACGTCAGGTCTGTCAATTATTGTCGTAGGCCAATAGCTGAATTTAGGTTTTGGTACTAGAACTACCAACCCAGTCAAAATGACTGGTCCCAGAATTTTTCTCTCTGCAATCACCGAACACATATACCTGCTTTAAGAATAAAATTGGTATCAACTGATAAAATTACTATAATCCGACCACGTTATAGTTAGGTACCCATTAAACATCGGTAGTTCTAGTGTTAAGAACCTTGTCATTGTGTTGGTGTCCTTAGATCGTCTGCTACTCAATGTCTTCTCTGTTTGCATTTCTGTCTGAGCACGTTTCACTATTAATTCACTGACACTGAACTTCATATGTTCCTCATTGTACAACTGTACATGCTTAGATCCCGGCACATCGTGATAAACCTTCTATTTCAAGCTGAATTACAACAAATACCGTGCTGAAAAATGAACGAGCCACGAAGATTAGACAAATTGGAACCCATTTAGGCGAAGTACGAATTATCCTAAAGTTTTGGTCCGCTACTGGACCGGGCAGGCACAAAAGGAAGCCGTTTCCGTAGCTACGAGGTCGTAATATGGCTTATTAAAATTACACTGGCGTCAGGGGAGGATGGCCCGGGTTCAGACCGCATCCCGTCTAGGGACAGACCGCGACAGAGCCGAGACAGCTCGTGACCAGGGGCGGCAGGCACCGTGTTTCAGGGTCCATTCCACGGGACGTTGTTGCTTTGTACGAGAGACCATCCAGCGACTTGACCACCGGGGATTCCTCCTCGTCGACCACGAGGAGACGACCTTTCCGGCCGCCTCGTTGTCCTGGATTAATGTTATTGCCTTCTCCACTGCGCTTCAACTGCCAGCCCTTGGTCACAAGACACAAGGTGTCCCGTTTCCACTGGGCACTCGTGGAATATTCGTTAACTTTTGTTCATTCTTATCGTAACCAGATCGATATCGAGTACTACATCAAAAACTTTTGTTGGGTATGGTCTTTAAGGATTCGTGGATAATTTTGGGAAACTCTGTTCGACCCTATTTGACTCGCAGTTTATGTATGAAGTGAAATGGAGATACTTGTCAAACCAAAATAAGTACTTCAATGGATAAATAAATAAAATAAATTATCACCAACATAGGCAATAATAATAACTAGGTTGGGAAGAGGGTGAAGCAATGTAGTGACTCAGAAATTTGCCCTGACCAACCCAAACTTTTGGGCTCTGTAATTGGTTTGATCGTAACCTCTAATTGGGGTGACACTGGGGTGTAATTTAATCGTGGAAATTCTAACAGGTCTGCGAAATTGCGCAGAGAATAGGGTCCTAGGGGTAATTCAGATAGCAGGCGATTTCAACAACGGGGACTCATAAAGCAATTTTTCAAAACAAGAAGTATTTTAAACGGCGGAAAGGACTTTCTCAAAAATGACAGAAACCGGTAGAGGAATTAGCGAGAAAGACAGAGGAACACGCGAAACCTGTCTTTAGAATAGACTATACTTTTTCACCAATTTCCTACGACACTCGCACACTGTCAACAGCGAAGGAGTTTTACA